AACTTAGCAAAGCACAGGGACCGTGGTTCAATCCCCCAGTACCACATGCCAGCCAGCCCCGCCCCCTGGTGGGCTGAGCTGGCCACACACACATAAATAAATTAAAAATAAATAAATAAATAAATAAAACACAGGGGGCCAGGGAGATAACTCAGTAGAATAAGTGCTTGCCTGGCAAATACAAGATCCTGAGTTCAATTCCCAGTATCGGGGGGGGGGGGAAATTAAGCTTTATAAATAAATAATAAAACAATACACAGGCAGTGCAATTTCACCTCATCCTATACTGATGGATATATGCTTTCCTACTGAGTGTGAATCGGTTTCTCCTTGTTATGTTTATTTTGATTTCATTTTTTAGTGGCTAGAGATATGGAGTAACCTTTCATGTGCTTATTGGTTATTATAACTTCTTTTAAGAAACAGATGTTCAAATCCTTTGCCTGTAGGCTTTTTGTTTTCCTTTTTGAGATAGGAGTTTCAGTGTGTTACCCAGGTTTGTTTTAAACTCCAAGGTTCAAGCAATCTTTTGGAACTGGGACTACACAGTCATACTAGGCTTTCAATGCCTGTTTTTAAATTAGGTTGATTAATTAATTAGTTTTGTTTGTATATATTATTGTATATATAAACAAGGTAGAGGACAGGAAAAAAGCAGTTGCTAACTCAGAGGATGGAAGACCAAGAATGGTTCGAAAAGCTGTAGGAAAAGCTTGCCACTGCACATCATATTGGAGGATCTCACATGTCGTTTGTGTTGGTGGACACAGGTCCCCTCCCAGGGCATCATTCTTCTTGCTGCACTGTCTTCAGTTTTTTGTTTCTATGTAGTTTTCCTGTTATCTCCCAGAGATTTACTTTTTTGTTTTATTTACAAGTTTTTATTTTCCAGATATTTCAATTTGAAGTCCCCGAGAGGTTCTATTACCTGCTGTCCTTGTTAAACTTTTTAAAGACACCTGATCCTACTTGATATTTTGAGGTCTGTTGTCAAAGTTTGGCCCTTTAGACTTTTGGACTGTTTAATTTGGAAACTGGCTATGTTCAATAAAATTTAAATTTTGAACAATTTGAGAAAAAAATAAAATAGGATTTCTTAATTCACTGTACAATAAATGAATTTATCATAAGTGTCCCACAGTGTAGTAGAAATCACACACACTTTAGAATAAAACATAATGGACAGGGCCATGAAAATATCTCAGTGGTCTAAGCACCTGCTTCGACAAGCACAAGGGCCTGGGTTCAATCCTTAGTACCGCACGCTGTGCCTGCCCTGCCCTGGGTACACCAAGCTGGCCACCGAAACCAGATGTGGTCATGCATGCCTGTAATCCCAGCTCTAGGGAGGCTGAAAACAGGAAGATCGCTACAAGTTCAAGCTGTGAAGTGAAACCCTATACCCAATACATTAAAAAAAAGAAAAAAGAAAAAAAAATGGCTGTTATGAGAAACCTATCAAATAATGTTCTTCAAAGATTTTTAGTTTTGGTTTGTTTCTGAGGGAGGGGTGTTGAGGAAGGGTCTAGCTATGTAGTTCAGGTTGGCCTTGAACTCACAGCAAGTCCCTGAGTGTTCCATCACATCTGATCAGTTTTTTGCTTTTCTGGTAATCAGCACCCCTCTACCTATCCAAAATCAAGACAGCATGTTCATTTCCTGTTAGTGGGGGCCAGGGAGATAGCTCAGTGGTCTGGGCGCCTGCATGGCAAGTGCAAGGACCCAGGTTCGATCCAGTGCACATGCCAGCCTCTGAAACTGGGTGTGGTAGCCCACGAGTCTGAGCTGCATAGCGAGACCCTGTACCGAATAAATGAATAAATAAATAAAATTTCTTGGTTGTGTTTTCAGTAGCTAGAGCCCAATCCTGAGACTTTACCATCCCTTCTGTGTTCTGTTGGGGTCAAAGGAACCCAGTTACTCTTTAACCCCACTTGGGGGTGGGGGAGGAGTTGTCTTAAGGGGATTTATGAGCTTTATGATAATTGAAATAGCTCATCACTTCCCTGTTCCTGCACAACAGGCCAGGCCTCCTTCATGCCTGTTTCCTGGCAGAACAGGTGGATGTGATCAGTCATTCTGGGATGCATATTCTGTTCTTTATTTCAGATACAGTACTAAGATGGATGAGTATTATGAGATCTTGCTTTGGAGCCAAGTTATACCGTGGGGATTTTAGTTAGGCTAAATCCATCAAAGATATTAAAAAGACTATATGAGATCAAGAAGTAAATTAGTTCTTGAGCTATTGAATGTTCTCCCACAAGATTAGTATTCCATATTTCATTGCCTTTGGGTACTTACTCTGTGATTTAGTGTTTGGGCAGCTTTCCACCTGGACAGAAAAACTGCAATATGCTGACAAAATTATGTATCTGGTCTCTGTTGCTTACTTAGCCAACTCTTCGGAGCCAGCAGGCTTTGTTTATTCCTTGGGGAAGTCATCCTGTGGATTTTATTTTCAGATGATCTCAAAGGGCAGCAAGGAGCGCAGCACCGGGGCCACTGGAGTTAATGCAGATTCCTCCCGCTCCCATGCTGTCATTCAGATTCAGATCAAAGATTCAGCCAAGAGGACATTTGGCAGGTGAGCTGGAAATATGCAGGGAACTGTATTATCTGCCTTTCTTCAGTATGACTTTGAAATATTTGTTACCAACAACAGGGCTTTACTATCACAGAGTCTCCATTTTGGGGATATAGAGTCGTGTTGTTAGCCTTGAAATAAATCATTGTACTAAAGTGCCATCAGTTGATTAACCATGAAGTAATGACCTATTGTTAGTCACCCTTTAGTTATTCAAAGGGACATTGATTGCTTCTAACCTGAAACACAGTATCAGCAGAGAAACAGCAGGGAATGCGTCTCAGAGAGCTTACTTGCCATAAAGGAGTTGGAGGATTAATCCATTCTTGAAAGAAACCATAAGACAATTAGATATGTTCATTGCTTCTCCAGTGCTGTCTTTGCAAACTCTGCCACACTGATGGATGAGCCTATCTAACCTCTGAGTAATTAGTCTGCTTTATTTTCCTATTCTCCTTTTTTCCTTTCTTTTCTTTTCTTTCTTTTTCTTCTTTTCTTTCTGGAAAGCAGCCCACAGAAGTTTCTATATAATTATGTAAGTGATCATCTAAGTGATTTGTATTGTGGTCATTCTTGAAAAGAATGTTTTATTAATTTCACTCACACTTCTTATAGATGATTAGAACTGACGGAAGTGTCTGAGTGAATGATGCCAGCATCACCAGACAGATCAGAAATTTATGATGTTTTTGGAAAATCGACATGAATGTCTTTTCTTTGCTGAGGATGATCCAGTGCTAATTTCTTCCTGAGGTCACACAATGTGTAATGGTGTAAAAATAAACCAAAGCCTTGAGGAAGTAACTGGGCTCTTTTCTCTAGGATCTCTTTCATTGACTTGGCTGGCAGTGAAAGAGCAGCAGACGCCAAGGATTCAGACAGACAGACAAAGATGGAAGGTGCAGAAATAAACCAGAGTCTTCTGGCTGTAAGTTGCTGAAAATCTAAAAATCGTTGTTGAGAGATTTTGCCCCTGGCATGCAGCCAAAATAAGTTGGGTGGAACCCATAGAGCAGCACTCATGCTGACATACCATTATATATCTCGAAGATATGGACAGTTTTTTAACATATCCCTCATAGTATTACCATATATATCTTTTATCCAGTATTATAATTTCTCCTGAGTTCACGTAACTCCTTTTTATAGCTGAATTGTTCAAATCATGGTACAAATAGTATCCCATATCACTTCTTCCTCCTTTTTTTCTTTCTCATATTATCAGTGTATTTGTTTTCTTTAACAAATTGAATTATTTGCCCTATAAGATTTTCCACATTCTGGACATGGCTCCCTGAGTGCCTTCCCCTGTTGATGTTTGACATGTTATTCTATCCTGCATATTTCCTATAAAATGGTTAAATCTGTACTCTGCTGTGCAACATAGCTAATGTGATTTGAGATGTGCTATAAACATACTCTGGATTTTAACAACGTTATTGCCCAAAAGAAGCATGTACTTGCAAGGACCTGAGTTCAATCCCCAGTTCCAAAAAAAAAAAAAAAAGAAGCAGCATGCAAATATCTCATTGATATTTTTTTTCATTACATGGCAAAGTAATACTTCGGATATAGTGGGTAAGATAAAATGTATAATTATCAGTCACTTCATTTGCCATCAACCATTTTTGCAAGGACCTGAGTTCAATCCCCAGTTCCACAAAAAAAAAAAAAAGAAGCAGCATGCAAATATCTCATTGATATTTTTTTTCATTACATGGCAAAGTAATACTTCGGATATAGTGGGTAAGATAAAATGTATAATTATCAGTCACTTCATTTGCCATCAACCATTTCTCCAAGGAGCCCTGAAACTAATATATTGTTAGCATTTACTATAAGCTAACAATAAATTCTCTTTTTCTCACCTTTTAGATTAGGATTCTCAGGCAAAGTGAGTTGAATATACTGGCCATGGGTCTATACATCTAACTAAAATTGTTTGGTCCTGATATCTTAAAGTCTGGTCCATAAATGAACTATGAAACCTGGAGATAGCTGAGCATGGTACATGCCTGTAACCACACCACCACCATGAGAAGTGAAGACAGGAGAATTATAAGTTCAAGCCCAATCTGGGCAATTTAGTGACTTAGTAAGACCCTGTCTCAGAAATTAATAAATAAAACCTGGGGTTATAGCTCAGCATGAAGGCCTTTAGTTCAATCCTGAAATGAGGGGTGGTTGGGGAGAAACCTATAAGGTTATATTTATGAAATCATATGGCCCTTGGGACTTCACTTTATCAATAGTATGGAGAGGGTCCTGGGAACAGACCTTCTAGAGCACAACCAAACTCATGTTTTGGCCAGGCATGGTGGAGTATGCCTGTAAATCTAGCAATTGGGAAGCTGAGGCAAGACGATGATAATGAGTTTGAGGTCAAACTAGACTCCATAGTGAGTTCAAGGCTAGCCTGAACTATACAGCAAGACCCTGTTTAAAAAAAAAAAAAAGTTTTGTGAGATATACCATATGCCAAAGAGCCCCTTGTTTCTCTCTTATTTCCCTTACCTCTGTCTTAGTGTTTGTTGACCACTCCATTCTAATTCTAATTTCAGCAGGGCTGAAAAGGACCCAATGACTCCTAAGTATTGATAGCCACACTTAGGTTTGAGTATATAAGGGGCAAGTATAACTTAGGGGCAGAGGCTGGTTACCTGTTCATCCCTTTTAGAGAATCTTCCTAGTGCTATTGGGTTGATTTTTAATAAAGAAAAATACTGTCTTGTACCATTTATATCCTGTACCTTCCTGGATAAAAGTGGGGCAGCAATTGACCTCTGATTGTGCTAAGCACAACCACAGCTAACTCTTAAGGTTAATTTCCTATTGTGGGGGACCCAGTACACTGATACTTCCAAGGCATTACATCCTTTTCTTTCTTCCCTTTTCATTTACTGCCTTTAAGTCTAGATGACTGACTCAGAAAGTAGCAGGGCTCCCCTCATCATCCTGCATTTCCCACTCCCATCACTATTTCTGATGGGCAGTTGCCCCTGAAGAGCCACGCATGCAGGCCCTGCTAGCCCTGCTGATGGACAGTGAGCACTTCTCACTAAGAAGACATGCCCTTGTCATTAGGCCACACTTCCTACTTTTGAAAATAAGGGGTAAAGGGCTGGAGTAGCTCAGTGACATAACTGCCTGCCTGGCAAACGCAAAGTCCCAATTTCGATTCCCAGTACCGAAAAAAAAAAAAAAAAAGGAGTGAACTTAGGTAATTTTTCAGTGCCTCTCTGACTTTAGAATTTCTCCTGCCCTACTTAGAGAATTTGTACCTCAATCTACACTGGAGTGTACACTAGTAGATGTCCATGTAGGAGAGTAAGAAAAGGGTAAGATAATTTCTTTGCTTGAGTATGTCCATAGTTGGGACGATTGTAAGGAAAGAAAGGAAGCAGGCCATGTCTTGGACTCTGGGACTCAAGTCCTGTTCTTCGTATCAGTTCAGGGCAACCCAAGATCATAGCCTAGATAGGAAAGTTGTAGCTTGGCAGAACAGAATGATGTTTTCTAGTTTGCTTAGTTTTACTTGTGAACAGAAAATCGAGGGCATTTTGACTTCTTTTTGGGGAGTTTCCCAAGTATGGTTTATTTAAGAAAAACAAGTTTCCTACAGATGTAGTATCTATCTATTACTCGCTTTACATGGATATTCAATTCTCCCACTTTGCAGCTGAAGGAATGTATCCGAGCATTAGACCAGGAGCACACCCATACTCCCTTCAGGCAGAGCAAACTAACTCAGGTAAAGTCAAATGTGAGCCTTTGTGAGCTAAACTAAATCTCTCCTTTAAAAAAAAAAAAAAAATGAACCTTGAGTTGTTCTGTTTTACTCATTTTCCTTCTTACATTCCTTTGTTCATTCAGTCAAGGCAGCTCTGCTCTTCTGGTCACCACTTTTCTATTTGTTTCCAGGTAAAGAAACCTTATTGCCAGAAGGTGCCTCCCCATAGTTCAGTTACTCTAAGCTGAGGCAAGAGGACCACTTGCATCTGTAAATTTGAGACCAGCATGGGTAGCATAGCAGAACCCATCTTAAAAAACAAAACAAAACAATCCAAAACTCTATTAGTAAGGCCCAGTAGTGCATGCCTGCAACCTCAGCACAGAGGGAAGTTAAGATAGGGAGATCACAAGTTCAAATTCCACCTGGGCAACTTAGCAAGACTTGTGTCAAAAAAATTCCCTACCCTCCCTTTCATCCTCCCTTCCTATTTTAAGGAAAAAGTTTAAAAAGAGAATGGAGCTAGGCATGGTAGTATATATGCTTATCATTCTAGCACTGGGGAAGCTGAAGCAGGAGAATTGCTATAAGCTCAAGGCCAGCCTGAGCTACATAGTGAGACCCTGTCTCAAAAAACAAAAAGGAAGGAGAAACCCAGAAAAATTATGCTAGTATTAACTGATTATTCTGAGCGGTGAAAATATAGGTATTTTACTTCTTCTGTTTTTCTCCTTTGTATTTCTTTATTTTTCTATTTTTTGGTTTTTTGAGACAGGTTCTCACTGTGCAGTTCACGCTGGCCTTGAATTCACTCTGTAGCCTATGCTGGCCCCAAACTTACAGTGATCCTGCCTCCTCAGCCTCCCAAGTACTGGGATTATAGGTGTGCACCACCACACCTGGCCTTTTTTCTGTCTGTCCTGAAAATGTCTGGGAAACACCGGTACATATTAAATCAGCATCTGTAGTAGCCACTAGAGTACAGCCTGGGGAGTAGTCTGTATAGGTGCACACATCTGTGAAGACACTTATGTCACCTGGGGTAGAACCTACAGTAATGTACTCCATAATTGTCAGAATTGGTGATCTGTGAGTTCAATTGTGTCTTCTCAAACAAGGGACCAGAAACCTGGGTGGTTAGTCCTCCTTCTGACATTGGCCTAATTATTTCCAAAATAAGTTCCCATGCCCAGAAAAATGTGTTCCTATTTATTTAGAGAGCAGTAATTCCAACAGTATGTACAAGTATATAGAAAAGGCTCATTTATTGTAAAATTCTGCCACACCCCAGTGGTAACTGCTGGCAGGTTAGTGAGCATCTCTGGCACATACAGATCCACTTAGTCATGGAGTCATATGCTTTAGCATTCAAAGATTTGTTTTAAATGTCTTTCCTATGTTCTCAAGTACAGATGGACATAATCATCTTAGTGGTTATAATGTGCTCAGTTTATAACTAGTTTATCTGATTTATAGACTTCTAGATTGTTCATAAATTTATTATTATAAATAATGCTATAATTAATATCTGGTACATCCTTTTGTCTTTTAACCAAATGAGCAATTAACTCCTTGGGATAAAGTAAAAAAGCCAGGCATAGTGGTGCACACCTAGAATCCCAGCACTTGGGAGGCTGAGGCAGGAGGATCATTACAAGTTCAAGGTCAGCCTGGGCAATGTAGTGAGTTCAAGGCCATCCTGAACTACACATTGAGACTGCCTCAGAAAGCCAGGGTTGGGGATATAGCTCAGTGTGAAAGCCCTGGGAAATTCTAGAAGGGTGACTGTCAAACCAGTAATGTCCGTATTCTTTATCTCTGGTTACATATTGTCACACTGGCCTCTGAGAGCTTATGCCAGGTATGTGATATAGCAGTGTAGTAAAGTGCCCATTTCCCTGGACCTTCACTAGGACAGAAAAATTTCATAAAAATCTTATGGATTAAAAAAATACTACTTTTGTAATGGTTTGTTTACAATTCTTTGATTAGTGAAGTGAGCACTTTTTTCTGTTTATTGGTCTTTTTTTTTTTTTTTTTTCTTTATACAGAGTGCACTGTCCTTGTTATGGCCCATTGTTCTGCTCATAATAAGTAGTCAAGGCCAGGTGTGGTAGCACATGCCTTGTAATCCCAGTACTTGGGAGGCTGAGACAGGAGGATCGCTACAAGATGGAGGCCAGCCTGGACCTGAATAATGAATTCAAGGCCAGCCTAAGTTATGTAGTGAAACCTTGTCTCAAACAACAAAAAGTAACCAGTGTGCCCTATGTTAGTTTACTTCATTTATTGACCAACCTTCTGGTTTGGACAGGTTCTGAAGGACTCTTTTATTGGCAATGCCAGAACTTGCATGATTGCGAACATCTCACCAAGCCATGTGGCCACTGAACATACTCTGAATACCTTGCGCTATGCTGACCGGTAAGTTGTCTCCCAGATGGTCGTGGGGTGTGTGTGTGTGTGTGTGTGTGTGTGTGTGTGTGTGTGTGTGTTACGCATGCACACACACACACACACACACACCTCACACACACATGCACCTGATGTTGAACTCCACAACCTTCTTGGAGCAGATGGTGATTTTAAGAATCTTGTTTTTTGTCAGTCTTGCTTTTGCAAGAGTGGCAGAGACCTCTTGACTGCCTGGTCAGAGCTGACTTTGGCATCTGCAGACATCCTCTATGTTGTGTCCACATGTATCTCCTACACTTGCTAATATATCAACTGTCTTGAGGAGGACAGGTGCTACTGGTGTCTAGTGAGTAGAGACCAAGGATGCTGCTAAGCAGCCTACAGTACACCACATAGTCCCCTACAAGAAAGAACTACTTGGTGCAAAATGTCAGTTGTGTGAAGGTTGAGAAAGCCTAGGAATACACAAATCATTTTTCCCTTAATAGAATCTGCACAGTCCTGCTTGTTTCTGGAGGTTTGGCTTCCTGAAATACCCAGCAGGTTGAATGGAACTCATTTTCCCAGAGGAACCTAATCAGGGTAGTTTGTAGGAAAGAGGCCTTTGTCAAATTGCAGTGAGTAATAGAAATTAACTCTTGAGTTGCTTCATCCTCAGGAAGCATAGAACGGGCCTTACATGAACATAGTACAATCATAAGACTCATGTCCCCATTTTGTCCCTCATGGAGCTGTGGTAATTTCTAGAACTCCTAATCATGAATGTTGGCTGTATGCTTATATCCTCAGAGAAGTTGCTGTTTTTTTTCAAATTCAAATACAGAGGGATAGTTCATACTAAAATAGAATATACTCTTTTGTTCTTACTTTCTCCCTAATAAAACCTCCCAATCCTTGTAATGTTTTTGCTAGTTTTTTGTTGCCCTGAAAGCTATAGAACAGGGATTGCAAAATCTACAAGAATATACATTTAACATTCAATGGTTATTTACAGGGTCAAAGAGCTAAAGAAAGGCATTAAATGCTGCACTTCAGCTACCAGTCGAAATCAGATATCTGGGAATGCCTCTCCAAAAAGGATTCAGAGCTCTCCTGTAGCCCTGCCAGGGGACAAGTGTTCTCCAAAAAAAGTCAAGCTGGGGTTTCAGCAGGCAGTCACAGTGACACCTGGCTCCACAAAAGGAAAGTCCCAACCTCTGGCTAGCCACTCACCCAACATTCCTTGTGCTTCTGTACCTAAGATCCCCGGTAAAAGGGGCAGCTCCAGAGGGAGTCTTCCTCAAGAGTGGGCCATGCAGACTGGCTCTGTCAAAGAAACCATGCACTCTGGACATTTGGCCAAAAGAGCAGAAGAATCAGTACCATTGTACTTTGAGAAAAGTCACATTGTCAACAAGACTTCACTTGCTTGGGGGCGCAGGATCTCAGGCCCAGGAGAAGGCCCGGCACGTGGTAAGCTGCCCCCGAAGTGCAAGAAGGTACAGACTGTGCAGCCAGTACAGAAGCAGCTTGTGGCTCGCCTTGAGCTCTTCTCTGGCAGCAGCCACCGCTTAGCAGAAGGCAGTCGGAGCAGCAAGGCAGGCTTACCTGCCAGGCCTGCAGCTGAAGCTTGGACACACATTCCTGCACATCAGAAGGAAAGGGAGGAGCATTTGCGTTTCTATCACCAGCAGTTCCAGCAGCCACCTCTCCTCCAACAGAAGTTAAAATACCAACCACTGGAAAGATTCTTATGCCAGTACAGGACCCCAGAGGGCCCGCTTCAGAACGAGGCTCCTATCATCCATGCTTGCTCTGAGAGCCAGGATGGCACTCAGGGCGAGGACCTTGATGACAGTGACTTCAGCGAAGATTCTTTTTCACACATCTCCAGCCAAAGGACTACAAAGCAGAGAAGCACGCTGGAGAAGAGCGCAAGCTCTTTCTTCCTTCATCAGAAGGGAGAGCAGAGGCCAGAAGAGCAAGTGGCAGAAAGGCAGCAGAGTCTGTGTTTTAGCTCCAGGACAGATGGAGATGAGAATGCTCTAGCTGAAAGCTGGGTGTACCCTGGGGACCCACTAGGCCACAGACCAACATTCAGTCATCGCCACAGCCCAAGTAAGCTGCACTTAGACTGGAGCCGAGAAGAGGACTGTACCTCCTCAGAGGTAGCTCCCAGAGACACGCCGGCAGAGAAGCCTCCCTGCTCACAGGTCAACTTTGTATATACCCAGAAAAGAAGTGATGGCCCAGTCACAGAACTCAGTCAGGACACCTGCGGAAGTGAGGCTCCTAGAGAGCCGGAGGGCAGCTTGCCATCCCTGGAAGATGGTTCCTCTTTCTCTCTATCCCACATTGCAGGGTCTTCTCTGGAGCAGCTGGCCCAAGACAGGGTTGTGCACAGTCTCGTGGCAGAGAGCACAGGGGTGCCACCTGTGGGCCACACAGTGTTACCTGACCACCAAGAGGCAGCTTTGCCAGGGTCTTCAGCCACTGGGCACCTGTGGCTCTCCTCCTCTCCCCCTGACAACAAGCCTGGAGGTGACCTTCCAGCTTTGTCCCCATCACCCATTCGTCATGAGCCACCTGACAAGCTGCCCAGTAGGGAGGCTGACCAGAGACAGCCCTGCCAGAGCAGGGAGCCCGAGCTCTTCTCCCAAGAACTTCTGAGCAGTGAGAAGTATGGTACCGATGCTGAGGAGACTGGGCTGGATGGCTGGTGGAATTTCCTGGGAAAGCCCTCCTCTGCCACACGAACTGGGATACACCATTCTGGATCTGCACTTGCCCAGCAAATGGGAAGTTGTGATGTGGCTGACCAGCCCTGGGGCCAGGATAGAAAATATCTTAGGGGGCTCAGTTGGCAGGAGCTCAGTTTAACCACAGACCCTGTCAAGTTGCCTTGCAACCATGAGGACATCACATGGCTCAAGCATAGGCCAGTGTCAAGGTGCTTGGTATCACCAGACTCTCGCCTGGTTCCCAGCTGCTCTGCCAGGACTTCAGGGACACTGACTCAGCCCACCCTGGAGCAAGCACAGTAAGTTGGACTTTTCTCCCTAAGATGAGCTGTGCAGCCACCCATTGCGCTGCATGCCTATAATCCCAGCAGTCTTGGGGGCTGAGGCCAGATGATCACCAGGTTCAAACCCAGCCTGGGCATTTTAGCAATTTACCAAACCTTGCTTCATAAAAAAGATGACCCCCTTTAGCATCCCCACTCTACCCAGTTGAATATTCTGCCATAAAGAGAAGGCCATGCAGCAGGGCTTAGGAAGCAGCTTGCTCCCCAGGTAGACAGTCGCTGCTCCACTGTCTGCCCATTATTACAGCCTGACAAAGAGCAGACCCTTCTGCTTCTAGCTCATATCCCCTGCATTGGGTCCTGGAACTTCCACAGGAAATGGAAATGAGAGTAGACCTTGTGTCTGCAGTAGTCACAGCCTTGACAACTTTCCTCAGGGCAAAGTTGTGGGATACTGGCAGTGCTCATGGAGGAGAAACAGTCAGTTCTAGCCACCATAGTTGCAGCAGGGACAGCTTGGAAAGGTCCTGTCTCCCTTAACTAGTGCCAAGAAAACAAGGAAGAAGGGGAGGGGTGAGCCAACCCTGGTCAAATCCAAGCTGGAAACAAGTCTCAGTTGCAGAAAGCTGTGCCTGAGGAGGATCACAGTTTCCTCTCTGGCATTCTCAGGCAGGTGGTCATCCATGCACACCGGGAACAACTGGATGAAATGGCTGAGCTGGGCTTCAAGGAAGAGACTCTGGTGAGCCAGCTGGCTTCTAATGTAAGTAGTCATGACTAGACTGGGGCTGTTGGGAATTGGCCCGTGTTAGGTTTGATGCCATTGATGTACATGTGCAATGTACATGTCATTAAGGTTCTGCTGTGACACACAATTAAGGCCTTGTGCCTCCTCTTGCCACTCCTGAGACAGCTTGGAGGTACAGCTGGGAGATGGTGCTCCACTGCCAACAGCCTGTGTCCTGGCTGTATGCACCCTGCCTTCCTGTGGCTTGCTGGAATTCCTCCCCAGGACTGTAATAGTAACCAGCTTGCTTGCTAGGGGATGGAGCTGAAGGCATTTCATTTCTACCTAAACCCTCTCTACCTGTAAAGTGTCCTGAAGGCAGAGAAGTGGGCCCTTTCAGTACCGAAACAACTTGGTTTTCCAACAGCAGGCAGATGGTTCCTGGGTTCTTAAAACTTTCCTGTAGTGGAGAGACTGGAAAAGATGATCTGGCAGAGGACAGTGAAAGTTCCACCTGTCCTTTGTTTCCTTCAGGATTTTGAAGACTTTGTTACCCAGCTGGATGAAATCATGGTTCTCAAATCCAAGTGCATCCAGAGTCTGAGGAGCCAGCTGCAGCTGTACCTCACCTACCAAAGGCCCTGAGAGAAGAGCTGTCAGAAAAAGGTCTTACTACAAGTGGTGGGGACCATATAGGAGAGGCTTGTGCAGGGCTGTCAGGCTTAGCAAGCCTTGTCCAGTTCTTTCTTGCACACACTGCAATCTGTTCCCTAGGGCCTTTGTCCCCTCCTGTTCAAAGTTCAGGAACTTATGTAAGAAAAGCAGGGCCAAACTGAGGACCTTATCACCCTTCCTTTTGTTTGAAGGTCAAAGAGCATCTGCTTTGTTGACCCCATGTCTGTGGGAACACATTTGGGGATAGGAACTCATAGATGTTCCTAATTTTGAGGATTAGAGAATGAGGTAGTAACCTACAGGTCAGATGTCACAGAGCTGGGCATGGTAGCACACACCTGTAACCCAGCACTCAGGAGGCAGAGGCAAGATTGCCTTGTGAGGCCAGCCTGGGCTATATGGTGAGTTCAAGGCCAACCTGAACCACCTGGCAAGACTCTGTCTCAAAAAATTAAAAAAAAAAAAAAAGTCACAAACTGGGGAAGACAACAGGCTGAACTCAGTGGCTGAATTATTTCTACCTTTAGAGATAATTCACACAATACATTGGCCCCAAAATAAAACATGGGTGCTAGCAGGGCATCAGTAGATTGAGTTGCACCCCCTCTGCGCTTGGAGATCCTTTTTGAAAATTTAACATGAATGAACCTTGACCTGATGTGTCTTCGCAGATGTGGGGCAGCCTTTGTGGCCCCCTCCTTGCAATCCAGTTTTGAAGCAGAAGAGGACATTAGTTTTTCTTGTGTTCTTTCACTGAAGTAGTAGAGCACCTGCTACCCCTCTTGCTTCTGTGGTAGGCCTGGCTCCTAACTCACCTCCTACTCCCTTTATGGAATAACTAAGGTTAGAAGATCTCAGGCAAGTCCACCTTCTGGGCTTATCTCCTAGGACACCCTTGCTGGCCACTGTCCCACTCCCAAGCTTCTGACATCAAATTCAGACAGATGGATTAATCTGAATGCTGTTTTTAGCAGAATGCTTAAGGAAAACAGGCAGCTTTTAGGTGTCCCATCACTTTCAGAGGCCACCGAGTCACCCTGTGATTCCTGTATCGGGCCTTGAAGCCCACTTTGGTAACATTCATCTCTTTCAAGTAAAGAACTTTTGAGATTTTAAGAGTTTAATCAAGAGCTATCAGATGGTGCTCGATTTGACCACCAGAGGGCACCCTGCTTCCGTTGTCAGGCCCTGCAGCGCCTCTGCACTTGGGTCACTAAATGCCAGAGACCCTTCCCAGAGCCTCAGGGCTAATGAAAAGTGTGTGAAAGGCAAGAAATTTCAGGGATGTATTCTGTTGGATACAACAGCACCACTGTGATCTGGGGAAGCACCTAAACCCAGTCCTGCCTATGGCATAGGGAATAATAAAAGTGCCTGGTACTGCTCACAGGAAAGAGGATTTTTCTCATTTCCTATGTGACTCTTCTAAAGAGCCAGCCTATCCTACCTGCACAGTTTAGCCTGGCAGGAAGGCGTATGTCCTTGGCCTGGATACATTACAAGTAGGTCAGGTTTAAACAGATCCTTGTTTGAGCCTGCCTTTGCAAACCAAAAAGTTGCAGCAGAGTAGAGGGCTAGCTCTTGGGTCCCCTAGGCCAAGAGTTGGAAGTACTGAAATGACAGAAAATAGACCCCCTCCTAGTCCCAGGAAACCCCTTTCTCACCCACCTATCCATCCACCGTCCTCAGTAAGATACCTCTTGATAATGAAGATACCATAGCAGGATATAACTTTTAGATTTTTATTAGTTCTCTCTGAAGAATCAAAATAGTTATTAGCAAATTATTTTAGATTCATGAAGACTGTATATTCTATGTGTTTAGGTCTTTAATGATACAACATAATATAAAACAAA